TCTTTTTCTTCTAGTTAATTAAGACGTATTGTTAGATTATTCATTTGAACTTTTTCTGTTTTTATGTGGGTACTCACAGTTATAAATTCTTTTATGATAGTACCTTATTTACTATATTCCATAGGTTTTGCTATGCTATGTCTCCATTACTATTTCTTTCAATAAGTTTTTCTATTTTTTTCTTAACTTTTCTATTGACCTACTGATTATTCAGGGGCATGTTGTTTAATGCCCATATGTTTGTATGGTTTCTGAAATTCCTTTTTCTAAATTGAGTTCTAGTTTTATTTCATTGCAGTCAGAGAAAATGCTTGATATTACTTCAATTTTTTGAATGTATATAGGCTTGTTTTGTTACCTAATATATGGTCTATCCTTGAGAATAACCCATGTGCTGAGGAGAATGTGTATTCTGCAGCTTTTGGATGAAATTTTCTGTAAATATCTATTAGGTTCATTTGTTCTACAGTGCAGACTAAGTCCGATGTTTCTTTGTTGATTTTCTGTCTGGAAGGTCTATCCAATGACTAAAGTGGGGTGTTGAAGTGTCCAGCCATTATTGTATTGAGGTCTCTTTCTTTAGCTCTTATAATATTTGCTTTATTCATCTAGGTGCTTTAGTGTTGGGTGCATATATATTTCCAATTATTATATTTTCTTGATGAATTGATCTTTTATTATAGGTGAAATATATCTCTTCCTACAGTCTTTTGTTGAAATCTATTTTTGTCTATTATAAGTATGGCTATTTCTGCTCTTTTTTGGTTTCTATTGGCATGGAATACCTTTTTTCCATCCTTTTATTTTAGGTCTAAATGTATCTTTATAGATAACATATTTTTTGTAGGTCACAGATTATTGCCTTGCTTTTCTATTCATTCGTCCGCTATTTATCTTTTGACTGGATTATTTTTATTTACATTCAATGTTATTATTGACAAGTAAGCACTTATTCCTGCCATTTTGTTGTTTTCTGATTGATTTTTGTCCTCTCTTTCCTTTTTCCTTTCTGCCTGTCTTCCTTTTAGTGAAGGTGATTTCTCTTGTAATATAATCTAATTTCTTGCTTTTTATTTTTTTGTACATCTGTGGCACACTTTTTGACTTAAAATTACCATGAAACTTAAAAATAATATAGCATCAGTTTAAACTGCAGACAATTTAACACTGATTGCATAAACAAAGAAACAAGCAAGACAACTAATAATAATAACTCTACACTTTAACTTCATTGTCATTCTTTTAAACTTTTTGTTGTTTCTCTTCATTCCCTATTTTACTAGCTATGTTTTGGAAAGACTTTTTTTTTTTTTTTTTTTT